TCCACTTCAACCAATTTTACAAATTGAATACCTGATACGAGATAATGCACCCAGGAGTTGTGCAACCAAGTCAAGAAGGAGACTCCGTAAATCGACCAGTGAGGGGTATTCCACTTGGCTAACGACCCTGTAATGAGGGAGCAATTCAGTCTTCTACCCCTTGAAAATGGAGGTATTCTAAAGAATAATAAAAGCATACTGAGAAAATGTTTAGCTAAAGGTATAAATTCCAATAGCTCTTGATTCAGAAAGCATTACCTATCAGCATTAATTAGCCAATCGAAAACAAAATTCTCAAGTCCAGACCATAGCTTCTCTGCAATTCAAACAAAGTGTTCCTTTAGCAATACATTATAATCATCCCTTTGTAAAGCAACTGAATAGAGAGATTAACAAACCAGTAAGCCCCTCCTGTGGACAACACTCCACAAAGCGAATACAGGCCGAGCAAAAGATGCATTCAACAGCCAACTGATCCCAGTGTAGCAAACCCACATACGAGAAAATCAAAACAAATTTCAGAAGTTAATCAAGTAATTAGAGAAAATGAGGGTCTAGCTCTCTAGGCGGACAGAATTTTTATCATCCAAGAATTTAAATCCTTGATGATAGTAAATACCTTCCTCTGGAAAGTTGAGGCATCGTTTGCACCTTTGGGTGATTCACTGCAAGGTATGATACAAACAAGACAAACCAACACGACATAAATAACGGTTCATGGAAGTAACTTAACAGACTGTAGTACAAGATCTAGTGGGTGTGAACCCAAGTGAACAACAAAAGATATCCACATTATAATCATGACTGCAGAAGGTCTTTTATCCATAATTCATCAAAAACAAGAGCCAGCGATCATCTAATGCAATCCACAACAAGTCTTGCGGTCTCTACTGACCCGCTATACGAGACTAATGACATAGAGAAAATGGCACTGCGAAATACACATTACTTGAAGAGAGAACAGAAGAGATTCAAACTTTCCCACCTACACTTTATTTGAAAAGAGAACAGAAAAGATTAAAACTTTACCCACCTTTCCCTCCATCTAAGCAGAGCTTCCAAAAGAGGAACAGGTGTGTGACGCGCAACCATAGCCAAGGAATCCAACACCTGCTCATACGCGGGGTCTGATGGCCGAAGGTACTGTCCATCCTACAAACAACGAACTCGGAAGAACCATATCACCACCAAAAAAAACAGTAAAGTAAATATGAGAAACTACCCAGAAAAGATTATACTTAAAGTCTGTAACTTGCTGTGGAACAGAAGCATTCGGCCCATAACCATATTCGAAATGGGGGGACACGCGCAGAGGTAGCGCGTTGATAAAACGCGCTGGTTTTTTCTGGGTTATTATAATCCACGGAAATCGCCAAAAATTCGTGTTTCAGAAAAAGAGGCGCGTGGATATCTGAGCGGGACGGTCTTTAGTTCCTTGTATATTTAGATACATTTTGATAATCGAATATAATATTAAAAAACTCATCCATGGGTAAAAATAAATTTTCCCAATGCATCAAAATCTCAAATACCCGGGACAGAACACAAGTTCAGATACCTCAAACACCGCATAATTACGAAAATGAACGACAATGAGACCTGAGCCTGAGCTGTCTCGATCCGACGCCTCGCGAGAGGCAGGACCCGCTGCAGCAGCGCCTCCACTATTAATTTTGCAGCGCTCCCCGCCTTCATCACGTTGGCCGGGAAAGGATCCCCACTTCGAGAAATTGTCACTTCTTCGAATGCAAAATCAACAGATCATGAGAGCGAGAGACCCATAAACACAACCCGAGGCTCAGCAATCTCATGAATTTTTCAGCGTTTATCAACCAAAGTTTCGAGGAACACCAGAAATCGGGAAACCATTCTAGGGTTTAGCTGGATCCAGCTAGAATCGCCCGGAAAATCTCTGTTCTTCCTCCTCCCTGAAGCTGGCGTTTGATCGACGGGCTTACACTTTTTTTCTTACCTTTTTTTTTGGAATATTAACGTTAAGATGATTATTCTAATGACCATTAAGTTATTAGATGAAAAGAAAGAAAAGTAATTAATAATCAAAGAAGCAGGACCCATATATATATGGCTCAGGGTAGCGGTGGGCGTTTCGAGAAACGGTTCGGGTTCGGAACAGAATGAATCAGTTCGATTTTTTCGGTTTTACAAAAATAGGTACCAATCGGGTTTTTTATTGTATTCAGTTCGGATCGGTTCGATTTCGGTATCGGTTCGGTTCGGTTCCGAGTTTTATTAAAAAAATGATAGATTTCCTTTAAAAATATTCGTTTTTTCGGTATTTTTAAAGTTCGGTTCGGTTCGTTTCGATTCTGGAAAAATTCGGTTCTCTAAAAATGGTAGCGTTCAGAAAATAACAGCGGTTTCGGATCGGAAAAAATATCGTTTTAACGGTTCGGTTTGGTCCGGTTCTGAAGAACCAAACCGAAACGCCCAGCCCTAGCTGAGGGTGACCATTTCGGTTATTAACCGAATAACCGAGTTGAACCGAACCGAATAAGATATAATCATATCCAAATTGAATCCGACATCATAATACGGTTATGATTTTTTTAAATCTGAAAAAATTAAAATCGAACCGAATCGAACTGAAAAAAAAACTTAAAAAACCGAGAAAAAACCGACAATTTTCTTGAAAAACTGAATTTTTTACCGAAACCGAACCGAACTGAAGTTTATATAAAAACCAATTGGTTATAGTTTTTCTATAATCGAAATAACCGAACCCGAATATAACCGAACCGAACCCGAACCAAAATCCGAATTGGTCACCTCTAGGCTGAGATATGTTTCAATGAGAGAACCGATACGGTTTTCCTGAACCGGGTTCGGTATTTTGTAGTGACCCGGTCCGAGCGGCACATGACCGGAATCCATTAATGGTTTATTATGCAAATATAATATTTAAAATATTAATCACTATAAAATCATAACATTAGTTGGGCTCATAATTAATATTGGGCCTACAATAGTATTATGACATTCGGTTGTTGCGGCCCATAACGATATTTAAAATAGGGATGCGTTAGAAAGTCCCACTCGCAGAGGTAGCGCGTTGACCAAACGCGCTAGTTTTTGCTGGGTTATCCACGGAAATCGCTAAAATTTCGCAATTCAGAAAAAGAGGCGCGTGACGGTCTGACCGGGATGGGCTTTTTTTTTTGTATTATAAACTTTGTTTAGATAATATATAAATGATATATGGTTATATTAAGGGGAATATAAACATTTTTACAAATCTTAACATCCATATATATATATTTAGAAATCGAATATAATATTAAAAATCATTATATCCATGGGTGAAAATATTTTTCATTTATTTTTTAATTTAGATTTCATAAAATTGTATTATTGGTTTTATATCAAAATTTGATTCGATTTTGTAAAGAAAAATATTGGTTTTCTAAAGAAAATTTGATATAATTTTTATATTTAGTTAATCTGATTTAATTGTATATATCACAATTAAAAAATTTTACATTGTTTGTATTCGTTAATTTTGCATTGATAAGATAAAAAAAAAAATTGGCATTTATGGGATGACCCGTCAATTATAATTTTAAATTGAAAAATATTTATCCGATCACACTCTTCACTTGAATGATCAAGTTTTCGCCACCGTCTCTCTCTGTCCAGCAGCTGTGTAAATTAAATATGCGAACCGATATAAGCGATGTCGGTTTTCCTGGACCGAGTTCGGTATTTTTATAGTGAACCGGATCCCATTATGGGCTTTATGGCCCAATAAAATGAAGTCGCACGAAATCCATTAATGGCAAATATTATGCAATATAAAATTACGACATTAGTGGGCTCTTCATTAATATTGGGCCTACCACAGTATCATGGCATTAGGTGGTTCGGCCCATAACCATATTCGAAATGGGGGGACACGCGCAGAGGTAGCGCGTTGATAAAACGCGCTGGTTTTTTCTGGGTTATTATAATCCACGGAAATCGCCAAAAATTCGTGTTTCAGAAAAAGAGGCGCGTGGATATCTGAGCGGGACGGTCTTTAGTTCCTTGTATATTTAGATACATTTTGATAATCGAATATAATATTAAAAAACTCATCCATGGGTAAAAATAAATTTTCCATTTATATTTTAATTTAGGTTTAATAAAATTATATTCGACTCGATTTTATATGGATTTGTTTCTGTCATATTTTTATTAAAAATGTGTACTGTCTAAATAATATTTCGTCTAATTTTATATTTAGTTTATTTAATTTAAAATTATATATAAATTTTTTTAAAATCAAATGCGTTTTGATATAATAAGATATTAATCCATTTAATTCAATTTATTTTTATATAATACAATTAAAATTTTAAATTTAAGGTATCGCCATATTTGTACTTGATAATTTTGCATCGATAAGATAAATCGGCATTTATGGGATCACCAATCAATTATACTATATTTTAAAATGAAAAAATATTTATCGGATCACACACTTCACTTGTACCATTAAGTTTTCTTGGATCACTCGCGATGCACCGAACGAAGCTTTGTGTTTAAATTCTCTCACCCTTTTCAATAAGTTTATTCCATTTTCTATAATATATATATATATATATATATAATTATCTCTATTATTTGTTCTACTCATTTATCATTCCATCCACATGAATATATGAATAGTAAAAAAACTTACATATCATTTAACCATTTATAATAATGTATATGAAATTGAAAAAATCTGATCAATACAACTTGCATTACATTAAAAAAAAAATAGTCCCTTTATTTCACAAATTTTGGCGTTTTAGATTTTTTGTCTCATATACTTTTATTAATACAAAGATCATTAATAATCTATTGTAATTTGTTACTTTTTTATTAAAGATAGAATTGAAAATTATTTTAAAAAATTGTTTAGAAAACCTAAAATGACAATCATTTAGTAATATAAAAAAAATAGTTTAAAACGTCAATTACTGTGAAATGGAGGGAGTAACATTTATTTATGGGCCATATAAAATAAAATCACTTTATTTTTTTTTTTATCATAATAGTTAATAAAAATATAACAGCTGAAGAAGATGGTATCATGTATGTCTCTCTACATACACATTACATCACAGATGGTGGCATCTATTGAGGTAACCAAAACTGCAGCAAGGGCATGGATGGATGGACCAAAGAGAACCTCGGAGATCTGTCATCTTTACAATGTCTCCTCTTCCCCTGGAAGCTCTCCTTCTCAATCTATACACCAGAAACCCTAACAACAAATTCATCTGTAATGTGTCTCCAGATAACCGTAACTCTCCATCCATGCCCACAAGCATTTCCCTGAGGTTATTGTGACCATTCCCATGAATCAATACATGCCATGAAGATTGTGGATCATGGTGTTTCTGGTATTACAGGAACAGGGTTTAGTCAAGTGTTTCTCAGAGGCCCATCTAACAACTGAAGACATTCATGCGGGTTGGAGTAGAAGTAGTCCTCTTCCTTGGGTTTGTCGGTAATAACCAGTCTCTTCTTAGGGCTTCCCATCCGATCCTCGTGAACTTCCTTCACTGTGGACGAGAACTCGTCCCAGCTCAACAACCCTTCTTTGTATTGATCTATCAGGTTCACTAGGAGCTTTCGGTCTAGTATAATAGTCTTCTTGAATCCCAAGAATCTGCAAAAAACGTTGAATTCCCCCGCGAAAGTTAGTTTTCTTGGCTGAAAAAATCGAATATAACGTAATGTTTATACAACCCCCACCTGCGATGACCTTCCACGACTTTGGCCATGTTCCCGTCGTATGTTGGGACAAATATATCGCTTTCAAGAGATACGAGGTAATCCAAAGCCGCCATCTGAGATGAATGGTTCTGGAAAAACTTCAGATCTGAGGGTTCCAGTAGAGTTTCCTTCCTGACCTGCTTTGATCAATTTGTCAAAACCCAGTGAATGAATGAATGTTAAAAAAAAGGCTGTGAACTTTGAAACCGGGGGGCTCTTGCTTTTTGAGACCAAGTTACTAACCACATTTGGAAACGCCTCCGTCAAAGCCTTCATCCGTCTTTCGCCACCGTATATCTCTCCGGCAGCTATGTAAATCTGAACATTCTGGTCAATACCCAATGCAGTTAGTGCGAGAGCGGTTTCCTCTGGTGTCAGAGGGCAGAGGCCGTCTTTCCTCTTGAGCTCGGAGTTTATGACTTTCTCTTTCCACCAAGGATAAGCATATCTAACAAAAACAGAAAGAAGAAAACGTCATCAAGCCAAATTTGTCAGCTAAGAGTTTTGACATGGTTAACAAAAGCGGGAGAGCTCTTACCTCATTCTTGTTAACTCTTCCTCTTCATCACGGTTGCAACCATGTGTGCAACCTGAGAAAGCCAACATGTCCATTTCGTAACGAAGATGCAGGACCAGAAAGGGTCCTTTCTCCCTCAGAATCCTGACTGCTTGTCTACCCAATTCCTCGATCTGTGGAGTAAACCTAAGTGCGTTGAAATTTACTCGGCATCTCAGCTTCTGAATCTCCAGAGGCAGTCCGTTGTTAGCCAGCCGTGAATCAGTTTTGTTCAGATGAACAACCTTATACTTCTTCACCAGGGGAAGAATCTGTTACCAAATCATTCTGAAGTTAGTTCAAAGAATGGACCAAAATAAGGATTGGGCATGTGAAGTTATCGAGACAGAGGAGCAACCGAGAAAAGTAAAATGAAGATCAATCTTGAATGCATGGTCTAAGTCTAACGAAAAATGACCTGATTTTGGTAGTAGGAGAAGTCGGACCAGCTAATAGGAGGTAAAGAATAGTACATCCCGAGCTCGACCCTTCTCTTGAGCCTCGGAGGCAGCTCTTTGAGTATACGCACTTCATCTCTTAAAGAAGATATGAAGTGATCCACATCAAATATATCTTGAAACTCACTGCTCAAATGAAACCAGATAGAAAGATATTTCTTTTAACACACAGACGATCATGAAAACAAAAAAAAAATCGCGAAAGAAGCTTTTGTGAGATGGAAACAGTACCTTGGATCATTCCAGAAAGAGGTTTTGTCCAGCTCCGGGACAATAAGTGTGACATTCATATATCTTGCAATGGTGACCATATCGCAAATCTGAAGAAGGGAGACCAGGCAAAAACCAGAAATCCCCAAATGTCATATCATCTGAAGATACAGGATTCTGCGAAAAGCAGCAACTTCCCAAACCTAGAAACAAAGCTTACGTCTCATCTTACCGCTGCTCGCATCTGGTTGAGTCCTCCATTGCAGGAAACCATGAGATAGCCATTGTTCTTGTATACCCCTGTGGGAAGAAAGACAAGAGGACAGAAAACACAACTCTTTGAGATTTCCAAACTTTTTTCTCCTAAATAAGCAAAATGCTGATTAAGACAAAGCATGATCATCCAAAGGTAAAGGGAGCAGAGAAAGGTGGAAAGGGACATGAAACAACATTAAACATTCTCGGTTTCTTCTCCAACTGAATCTGAATTACGCCCACCGACACATCTATGAGCATGGCAAATGTAACATATACTTCTACAAGAAACTCACTTTTAGGAGGTAAGGCTATCTTAGTTGGAAGAGACGCCATTTCCAGGGCCAGAGGTAGGTCGTGGTGATTGAAACAAGAAGGCCAACCCTTCAACAATCTCGGCCCCCAAAAATCACCCAATGCCATCAAATGAACTACACAGCTCCAAAGCAACAATATTGTCACAGCTCGGATCATCCATAGCCTCATACGAGACCTCGAAACCAGCGAATTCCTGAGCTTTTCCGCTTTGCTCTCTCCTCCTAGGAATCTATCCTTCATCTCCCATAATTTTCTGTGGTAAAGGAACTTCTCCGCTTCAGACATTCTCTCGCACCGACAACTCTGAATTCTAACAGAGGCACTTCATCAAACAGGTTCCGGGCCAAGCCCTGAGAAACGACCAAATCTTCTGGGACTTGATCTACTCCGAATACGAAAACAGATCTCTGCTGCAAATATAACACTAAGAAAAATCTCTGCTTGCGAAAGACTAGTCTAATAACACCCACAGAGATGTAATCTCCACGCAAGACTAGGCAATTCTGATAACATTAATTACGCCTCGGAAACCCTGATTTTTTTTTTCTCAATCGCCGCAATCTTCGCCTTAAACCCACAAATCCTGATTCATAATCTTAATCCATAAAAAAAAATGTTTCAGATTCTCTTTACAAGAACCAATCTTTTGACCCCCGTTAAAATAAAAAAGCATAGCCCAGAACAAGAACAGCTTTCAACCATAAATCAGAGACCCTGCCTGCCATAAACTACCAAGAAAAGCAAAACCCGGAAACAAAGAGGCTTCAATGGGGGCTGAATCGCCGAATTCAGACAAGAAAACGATGAATCTCCGCAATGGCGATCCTTGAAACCCTCAAACAGTAGAGGGTAGCTGCACAGATGAAGGGAATTGGTTTCGGTTAAAGCTCGTGTTTTCGGGGAGATTCTCCGTCCAGATCCCGGCTACGGAATACCGGAGAAATGGATTGGAGTTCGAAGGAGAGATTGGGAGAAGATCGGAAGGAACAAAAAAAGCCAGACAAAGAAAGCGCAAGAGAAGCACTTTACAACTATAAGAGAAGAAAAAAAAACTGTCCTTTTATGACCGTTTTTGTGAAGCTTTGTCTCTGTATCTTTTGTTGGACAGATGTAGGTCTTCTTATACTGGCTGTGAAAAATGTGAGGATCACAAATTCATAATTTTCCTGAAATTAACGATCAATTTCTATATCAATATACATTTTTCAATCATAAAATTCAATAAAAATACATCTATTACATATTAAAACTGGTATTTAGGTTTATATATGTTTGATTTCTTTTTCTTAAAATTCAATTACTTGGTTTTAAAAAATTAAATCAAACCAAATTAATCATTAGGTTAGATTCTATATATTATATAGTTATGTTGTATATATTATATATTGTTACAATAATAATATTATATCTTAATTATTCTTTTGAATACCATTTATAAAAAAACGCAGATGATAAAAAGAAACAATATTATTTATCCGTCTTGCAAATAAATAGTTGGATAGCATAATGTCTCTGAATTTTGGTTGACCAAATACAATAACTCTAAACCTTTTTTTTCCTCCCAAAATCAATTATTTTATTTTATTTATTGGAAAAAAATAAAATGTTAAGTAAAATATTAGTTAGAGCTAAACCACATAGGCCCAAAGTAAATCCTTTGATTAAGACAGAGAAACTCATGTGGTTTAGTAAGTACCAAACTTAAACCTTTTTTTTTTTACTAATATTTGTAATCAACCATTTAATATGGAAGCTCACATAGAATATTAACAAACTGGATTAGTTGGGATAAAAATAATAAATTACCATCTAAATCGGTCTCTTACATAAATGTTATATATTTTCACTTAACCCATAACACTTACGAAAATAATGAATATTTTCTAGAACTAGAATAACCTTATATCAAAATGCATGAACAATTGATATATATAAAAAATATAATTATTATAGATAATTTATTTGAGATGATACGAAAGAGTATATATATATATATATATATATTGATCTGTATACATTTAATTTACAAGTATATGTACTCTTATTAATTTTATTAAAATGGTAATGGTAATGTCGACTCCTATAATATTTAAAAAATAGAAATTGTACAATGATTTAATAGAATAGAATTTTTGGATCTTTTTATATCTATAATTGTTTTATAAAAATTAGTAGGTCCCACGAATATGCTGTATGAATATATATATATGGACCATCTCTCTTCAATATTATTCACAAATATTTCTGAAAATAAATTAATAGAAAGTAGTGGTATGCCTTTTGTGAATGGGAAGAGGATGAAATAAATATTGTAGAAAATGATATGTAGGGTTCGGGCTGAGAAGCTATATCTAATATTTAACTATACCGACAATCTAAATAAAATATATTTCATGAACAAAAAATCGTACTACAATACATCTTCCTAGCTGATTTTATATCTTTCATCGAAACAAATTTTCTTGAAAATAGAAAATTATAAAAGAGTTTTTTTTTTTCATTTCGAATATCATACATATTAATTTAATATTTTCTGAAGTCATAATATGTCCACATACACAGAATATATATATATATATATATATATATATATATATATATATAA